CTGTGTTATATATATATATATATATATATATCTTTAAAAAAAGCCTCTGACTATAGTGGACACTCTTGTTTTTGAAAAATTATAATTCCAATTTATGCAAACATTTCTGGAAATATTCATTCTGATTCATTTGATAATCCTTGACCTAACTTTCTGACCAAATTTCTATAATATATATATGTATATATTGAGTATGCTATGCCAAATTTAACATAGTAGTTAAAAATCTTTATCGAAATAATAAAAAGTGTAAATATGTCAGCTAGATGGCATTGCAGGTTTCAAATAACTCCAACCCTGACTCCACGCAGACATACCAGCACGCCATGAATGAGTTAGTAGTTTTTTGTTTTTCATGTGAAATAATGTCACATATTTAAAGAAAGCATCAGTGGATTGTAATATTTTTATTTATTTTTTATCAAAGACACATACTTTGAATAACATAAACATTGGACAGATTCATATTTTCTTAGCACTGCTGTCACTATTAAATACTAACACTGTTGACTGTTTTTGCCATGTGTTATAATTAGTTAAGCTGTTTACCTTATTATCTTTAACAAGAGCAGTTTAATTTTTCAGACTTCTAAATAATAATTTTTTTATTAAGTCTACTTTCATTATATTTATGTCGGTACAGATTTAAATTAAAATACATTACATTCAACCATTCCTGTTATTGTTTTTGTTGTTGCTTTACAGAGTTTTTCAGACATTTAGTTATGGATATCTACCAAGATGTCTATGTTCATCGTGAGAACTAAAGACAAAGCGCATCAGTTGATTGACAGCTTTAAGTTAACCTTCCACTTTTATAGATTCTACAAAGAGTTTATTGATAAGAACTGCAGTTGTTATAACTAACCAATAGTTTTCTTTGATTGACTTGTTTTTTTTACCATAAAAGCGAGTCAAGAAATAATTACAATAGAATCATAATGGACAAAAATTAGGATTATCGACCCAACATAACTAAGATGTACACAGTTACGGGCGTATCCAGATATGGGGCTAAGGGGAAGGCGGAAGGCCCATTTCACCTTTGTTCATTTGATCTTCTTAGCTCAGTGCTGCCCCCCAGTGGCACAGAGGTATATCTACGGGCTTACATCGCTAGAATCCTATGTTTCTATGTTACAATTTTCTAGGTTAAATCATCATTTTTTTATCATAGAAGAATGCAATCTATGCTTTTCTTTCTATGCATTGACACCTTGGCTCTTATTGTAGATTTCTACAAACAAGAAATGTTCAAACCAATTTGTACTTGCATTTACAATGTTAACACTTTCCAGCGACACCATTTTGTAAGGCTAAGAAGTAGAAATGTTTCTCATCGCCCAAAGTCTACATTTGTTAACCAGTAATCAATTTTACTGCCTTTCCTAACAGTTGTACAGAATAAAATATATCTGTTTTTTTATATATATCTTCATTTGCTATCTAGAATTTTGTTTCACTTTCATAAGTTAATGATTGTACTTTTCTTTGATTCAAGAATTGAAGCAGTCTGTGAGGATTGTGTTCACCATCATTGGCTGATAACCAACTTTTCTTTACCACGTGATTCAGAACTGGCCGTCACCGCTGTATAACATGTATGATAGGAAGACCAGATAACTTTATTATACGGAACCAAATGAGACGTGTCGTGTGTCGTGATGGTGTATACTCAAGTTTCTACTGAAGAGGTTGATGCCAAAGGAATATTTGATCAGAGTTATAAAGCTTTTTTCTTTTGTGAATTTCACAATAACTCAAACAGTCGAACGTATTTAAATAACCCCAAAATAATTTGACTTTTAAGTTTATATCTGAACTATTCGCTGCCGTTATTGGGTCATTACATAAGCGTGATATATAACCATTTGAACAAAAAGTATTTGGTAGTGTTTGGTTTACATATTCTAAAATTAAGAGGCATTCGCACCTGTTATGTCTTGTAATATGTCATTCTAAATGATCTTGCAGCGTTGTGTATGTCATAATACTCCTACCACGTTATGCAACATGTGTGTTTGATGCACGCTATACCAATATTGCAAGTATGCTTTATAATGTATTAATAGTTGCTTCATATGAGAAATAATTGTGATTTTTTCAGAGAAGAAACGACAGTCTATGTACATTAGAAGCTATTTATGATTTTTTTAAAGTGACAATACTCTGCTTCTCGAGATATATATTTAAATGATTTTGTTAAGGATATTAAGTTGAATTTTTTTTAAAAGAAAAGTTAGTTAAAAATAATACACGTTGAAAATGTGGAATTATATTATAAGAACGTGTAAACTATTTATAATATAATAGCACTAGTATTGTAGTTACGTTTTCGTTAAGTGTTTAAGAACCAAGATGTATTTTTTTAAATAAGTATCACATAACATATGTATTTACTAGACCGGACTGAGATTCATGGTTTTTATGACGTAATATTAAGGGACTTGTATATGATAAAACATTAGCGTTACTTTATAATCCATTTCTGAGTAAAGTTATTATTATATCAAGATAGAGCTTGAGACAGAGAAAGTAATGAAAACGTTATATTCATACACGTTCATTGTATCATACTGGGAGGAGACATCCGGGCGTAATCAAACATAAAACTTTGAACAAGCTGCTCTTATCAGTATTGTTACATATCGATTTAATATAATAAATAATTTGGGCACGCGCACTCATGGATGAATATATAGGTATTGGGTTTAATTAATCCTTTTCCTAACTCGTTCCTATTAACCTCGTGATAATATGGTTGTCAAGAGTGACGGTAAAATTCCAATATTCTGTCAGCTGTAGCTGCCTTACGTCTAGTCTCATCAATTCAAAATTATGGACCGTTATACGCGAATAGACCTTTATGTAGCTTTGCACGAAAAGTCTAAACTTGTTCTTCTCTAAGACATTCGACTTTGAAATGACAAGTGTGTGCGTGCGTTATATCATCCACTTTCAGAATAGTTTTTTTTTCTTCTTTGCTTTGTTTTAAAATATTACTGTTTTTACATTTTTATTTACAGCTTTTTGTACAGTTCTCACATACGTAAAAATAAATGTTGTTTGAGAATTTCCTGTTTGTAATATATTGTTTATATTTCCCAGATCTCTTGTGTGTTTTATATTGTATTTTCTTAAAATTTAAATATCTGTTTCACTCAATGCACGAGCAATTTTAAAGTTTTTCGTTGTATATTTTCATAGCACACGATATTTTTCTGCATTTATTAGATCATTAATTAATGATTCTTAGGTTTACCATAATGGTTTGATATTTGGTTAATTTATGCAGACCAGTTTTCATTCCACCCCCTCCCCGGAAATGTAGCACACACTGTTAAATACTGCGTAATTTTCTAACCACTCGGACGAATAAGTTTTTTGTGCATGAATCTACAGTAGCAGCAAATAGATTTCCTGTCGAAGGGTGAACTAAATTCATGTGAAACTGAATCTGTTTTGTTAAAAACGTAGTCAACCAAAGCACAATAAGCCACACTAGGGGGCGTTCAAGTAACGTTCACGTAGAGCACAGCTAAACATTCTTTCTGAAGAATCGTCGTGTGCATCAGATAAATTATTTCTTTTAAAAGTTCGACACTACCTTACCATGGTAGCTGGTAAAATCTTATGTCGCCGAATTAAACAAAAAATGACGGCACTTTTTACAAATCTCGTTTGTTTCTTCCTCCTTCTTTGCCCCCTCCCCCCCCCCCCCCCACGTGGCACAGTGGTATGTCTGCGGACTTATACTTCTAGAAACCGGGTTTCGATACCCGTGGTGGGCACATCACAGATAGCCCTTTGTGTAGCTTTGTGCTTAATAACAAACAAACAAACAGTTTTCGTAACGTCCCAGAAGAAAGGACAAATCACATAGGCAAGAACGATGTTGGATGAAAAGGATATCAAAGAAAAAAGTCCGAAAAAATTCGGGAAATAAAGATTAAGGTACTTGACTTAATGTTTTCGCAAATATTTCTGGCTTATCCAGCACACTATCCGTACAAACATGCGCCTTTGAAACTCGACAGTTTGACAACATGGCTGCAGTTCTTAAATCAAACGAAATACGAGTCTCTAAATTTCCTCACCACATTAAAACTAATCATGAGCTCCATTTAATGTTTTATAAGTAAATTAGGCCTAAATTACTTACACTGTGAATGTCTGTATGGCTTGATGAAGCATTGCTTTGTGACTGACTACGACTTCACTTTATAGTGAAGCATTGCTTTGTGACTTACCACGACTTCACTTTAATAGAAAGTTAACTTTAACAGTGAAGCATTGCTTTGTGACTGACTACGTCACTTTAGTAGAAAGTTAACTTGAACAGTGAAGCATTGCTTTGTGACTTACCACGACTTCACTTTAATAAAAAGTTAACTTTAACAGTGACTTAGGTTATTTAGAATGTCAATCATCAGAAAAGGAAAACACTAGTTCTTACTTCTCTGTTGCCACATTTAAACAAAATCCTATAAAATTCGAAGACCAGCTTAATGAATCATCCAGCAGGTTGGCCAGGTTTGATAAACAGACGAATCTTGGACCAAGTCCACGAACTTTGAATAGTTCAAGGTTTGTCGCTATATTTTTATCTAGAATTTGTGGCTAAACACAGAAACTTCTACTACATGTTTTTTAAAATTGCACCAGAAAAACAAACAAAACAGTATCGTATATCATGTTCCAGAAGAGTTTAGCTCATAAAATCACACATCACAATATTCCCCCCTACCCTTTAACTTAGACTGTCCTTTAATTCTAATTTCAATCAAAACTTAAACCTGAACCTAACTTGACGTAAGAAATTTGTAGCTTTAAGTCTGGCTTAAACTAGACCCACCACACTTACACGAGACAGCATAGAAAACTAATACAGACCAAGGTACACTTTTAACTATATAAGAAATATAATAGGAACGCATTTTGAGGTTTCTTACAACTGAAGAGTACATTTTAACAAGTACCTTTTTTATATATATTTTTACTAAAATGCATAACAACGTACATGAAATGACCTTTAATGAAGATAAATACACAAATCAAAGAATACTTAACTTTACACACTTAATAAGATCTAACTAGTTATATTTTCTAACTTTTTTAAAAATTTTGCACATATTTTTGTCAAAATATATAAATACTTCTATGTTTAGTCCTTTAATAGGTTAAATGTAAATGTACATCCATTTGTATGCTATGTACTCTGACTAGTACTTTTAATATTTTTTTCTTATATGTTCATATTTGAAATTTTTTTTTCGTTTACAAATGACCTTTACACTTTTCTCCATCCGTTTTTTTTCAACCTTTATAAATCAGGCGTGTATATTTCTTTTACTAGACGTTCTAACCCATTACATCAATGGTAAAGGCTTTTTGATAGTTATGCCAGTAACTCCAGAGATGTTGTGGGAGTTCTCAAGAGGTCAGATCATGCAAAGTTTCTATGGCCATAGACATGTCTTGGGGCCATACCAAAACACTGTTTCTTCTTGGGGATTGACCCTCAGGCTTACTTTAGTTTAGGAATTTTATGGTCCTATTTAAGGTGGGTAATGAGTCCTTTACGTTGTTTTGAAGTATAACATCTTTCAATAGGATATATAATTGTTTCTTATTGCCTTCTTTCACGCAGCTGGTGGTGACTGGAATGTGCAGAATTAGTTCAGCTCCATTGCTAGTTGATACAGCCAGAGAACTGAACGTCACTAGTTTTTTTGCTGGTTGATGGTAGTCTTCATCCAGGAGGGGTTCATCTACCTGCATTGCTTCTTTTGGCTAATTTGGCAGCGAACTTGAGATCTGGAGAAGTCTGATAGAGGTGTTATAGTCCACAATCAACAACAGCAATCTATTGTTCGTGACACCAGAGCTCCGACTACTATCTAAGATCGAAAGCCAGAATGGTCAAGAACTTTTCATTGTATTGGAAAAGTCAGCTTTTTGCATTTTCATATCAACTCAGTCTTTAATATCCAAACTTTCGGTCAGCAGATATGTTTAAATGTTGTAAGGTGCTTTGTCACAACTGAATGATGTGGTATAATGCAATAAAACAAAGTATGTGTTATTTATTCCTTAGTAGTCTAAGCACATACCTTATGTCAAGAGAAATGTTCTTCACCAGCACCAACGAAAGCATTGGTTAGTTCAGGTTGTCCCGTAAATTCAAACAGTGAATCTTATCTTCTCGGTAACAACCAAACAGCTCATGAGCATTTCAATTCTAAAAAATGAACGTATTCTATACCAGGTACATCGTGTACACCTTTAATGTAGTGATTTAAGGTAGTTACAGTAGTTTTTACTTACTCTATACGTATCTCAATATTCTAAGAAGTGAGAAGGTGATTGCTCTCCAAAGTAAAAGAAAACAGAATAAGGTACTACCACTTGGGGATGAGTAAGATAAACTTACCTCCTGAGGTTGGCATTAAAGTCTTGGGTTAATCCATAAGGATACAATGTTTTTAATTTCAAAATATAGAACTTCTGTCGTTGAAGTCTATTGGTTTCTTCATTAACAGTTTCTAATATGTAAAAGGATGAATTCTAAAATACTTTAATAGTATGAAATTCGTTAAATTCTTTTTAACTTGAGATCTATGCAAGTTTCTACGTGTATTTAATGTATTTGAAGTTTGACCAAAATATTCTAATTACATTCAGTACAAGTTAATAGATAAACTACATTATTTATTTTACAGAATTAATCTGTATCAATAATAGGATGAAAAGTGTTTACAGAAGGACGTGTGAGACATCGTTTGCTATTACATCTTATAACATTAGCAGCAATATAATTACTATAATAAGCTCACTAAGCTAAATTATAGTTGACACAATTTGTTTATTAGTTAAGGCAATGACACTTAACTGCATGAAGATTGAACAATCTAATGGAAAAGCACGACATAGTCAGCAACGAATCAGATTAATTGAATTATATGTATAGCAAATTAATACTTAAACAGTCAAGCAAAAGACAGCAAATCCAAACCTCTGATAAATGACATTTTAATGAACAAAAACAAGCTCAAACACAAAAAAACTCAATTAAAAACGCTGCATAAATTAAAAGGATCCCCACGGTACAGGATATAAAATGTGAGTCCTACTTTCGCAGTCACCTCCAAAACCCAGGTTATATCTCACAGTATAGCCTATACCATGTACACATACATATAAATCGATATCCGTAGTATGGAACATACATGAATACATTAATATCTATATGAATATATAGCATAAAAATCTTTGTTTGTCCGTTATCTAACTATTCCTATGTCGCTAAGACAATCTCAACCAATATTTCTGGGACGAGGGGCATGTTAATGGATGATTCATAATTTCTCCACCCCATTATTGCTGTGATTGAGCATTTACTATCTTCTTCTTAAGTTAATGTTAACTATATTCATAGATGGCGCCACGTCTTTACACCGAAAAAACTTAATTAATAATAATTTTCTATAACACAACATACACAGGGTGTGGGGGAGGCCACATAAACGTCTTGTGCATCTCAGAGAGTGCGCTACCGTTCTCTATTGAGGAATGCATTGAAAAAAAAAGCCCGCCATTATTGCAATAATACATAAACACAATGGAAGTTTTTACTCCAACAGCCACCTTAAGAGCCGTTTTTTGAACTATTCCATCTTCCTACTTTGTCCCTTGACCTTTCAATTTCGGCCTGTAAGACACTTCTGTGGCCAATGACCCTCTATTAATTAATCACGTGAAACACTGCGGAAGGACATTATGAGCTGTATGGCGAAAGCACTCTACCGCCACTAATTTAGCCGCTACCTCTTTCTACAAAGTCACCGAACCCTGACCATCGCAAAGTGTAGACCATGTTTTAAGTATATATACATATTGAGTTTTTAAATCTTATACAAAACTTTTGATTAAGTAATAATAAATAATGTAATAATATATTATGTTCGTTCGTTTGTAAGTAAGCACAAAGCTGCACAATGGGCTATCTGTGCTCTGCCCACCACGGGTATCGAAACCCGGTTTCTAGCGTTGTAAGTCCGCAGACATTCCGCT